CCCCTGGGATGATGCGAGAGATTGCAAGAAGCATCACCATCAACATCCAAAAGAGGCGGGTGACGATGAAGGCATTGTCTTGGCAGGAGCACGTCGCACAGGGACATGTGCCGTTCCGCAGAGACTGCGCTGTATGTCAGAGAGCAGCTGCACGGGATCGACCACATCGAGCTCAAGGGATAGCAGCCCCGTGTGTGCTTTCGCTGGATCTGACGGGCCCCTTTGTGCTCGGCCATAACATTGATGGCGACCTCAAGAAGTACCTGTTGGTTGGGGCATACACGTGGCCGGTCATGGAGGAGGCCCCATGGGACGAAGTCGAACAGCTCGAAGTGCTTCCGGACAAGGATTGGCCAACGCTCGAGGAAGAAGAGGCTCTTAGGGTCTTAGGGAGGTGGAGTATGACCTGGCCCAGGATTTGGATGCTATGGTGAAGAGATGTCCTATAGACCCACATCTGATGAGGGCGAAGATCAGGAGATGGGTGAGCCTGATGAAGGGGATGAACAACAGGGCGAAGGAGACGGTGATCAGTTACAGCCGCTACCAGATCCAGGACCCTGTGAACCAGAATCGTCGTCGGTGCCACTTCCCAAGACTCTAGAAGAGGTTGAAGAACACCAGAAGGTCTACAAGACGATCACCATGCATGTCCATATGCCTACCATTGGCCGCGAAGAGTGCGTCAGAAGTCCTTGCTGGAACGCAAGAACTGTTTGGTATGCTGAGACGCCACGGCTACCCAGTGGCAAGAATCCACACAGATGCTGGCCGAGAGTTCGACAACAACCCGTTCAAAAGGTGGTGCCTGGAGAGGGGGCTGGCTAGAACTTTCAGTCCTCCTGTCAAATGGCAGAGCTGAGGCCATGATTGCTTCGATCAAGCAACGAGTTCGTCGACTTCTACACGCTTCAGGCATGTCCACGAAGTGGTGGCCGGCAGCGGCCAGACATGTCACGGAGTTGGAAAGAAGGAGACGTGAAAACATCAAGGAAAACCTCCCACGCTTTGGGCAACTCATCACAGTGAGGAAGCGGGCCTTTGAGGCGACGTCCGGGATGGTGACCTACTTAACTCCTACTCCACAGGTCTCAAAGGGGCATGCGGTTCTCACGGACAAGGAGAAGGTCAAGGTGGTGAGCTACTTGATCAAGGACGTGAAGGAGCCTAAGCCTGATGAACGAGACCTGGTCATGGAGGAGGTTCACCCCTGAGTCTGCGGGTCAACTAAATTTAGTAGGCCAAAAAATTACTTAATTTCCATTAGTAAAGTAAAAAATTAGTAAAAAAATCAAAGTAATTTTTCCATAGTAAATTTTAGTAAGACAAGTAATTTAAATTAGTAAGGCTAGTAATTTAATTTAGTAAGGTTAGTATTTTTTTAGTATGTGAAACATGTGTTGTTATATGTGTGTGTTACCTGTTGAAAACCAACTTCATGTGTAACTTCCAAACCCATGTTTTGTTTGTTTCTGTGTTGTTTTTGTGTTGACTGTTGTGGTTGTTTCTATGTTGTTTATATGTTGTTTCTATGCTGTTTCTATGTTGTTTCTATGTTGTTTATATGTTGTTTCTATGCTGTTTCTATGTTGTTTTGACTTTGTTGAAATTTACTATGAAAAATTAGTTTTTCCAAAATTTACTAGCAAAACCAACTAATTTTTTCAATTACATTGATTTCATCCAAAAACTAAATTTAGCTGATCTGCACCTGTACGACTCGCTGGAGGTTGCGAGAGAAGACCCCACTGGCGTGTATTCAGGGCGAAGAAGACCTTCAAAGGGAGGAGGACCGTCGCATGCTCTTCCAGGCTATCTATGAAGAGGAGGGCCACTTGTTGGGATCTGCTCCAAGAGAAGTTCCTCCGTTGAGCCGAGGCATGGTTGCTCTACGACAAGAACAGGTGGCGTCGACCCAACGACTTCTGGAAGACGAGATCCTCCAGACGCGAATTGTGCCCAACGATGAGGTCTATAAGGACCGGGAGCTCTGGCTGGAGGCAATCATGAAGGAGATCCAGTCTTTGGAGGGCAAGAAGGCAATTCGGCGATTGACTCCCGCAGAGGTGGCCTTCTACCAGAGGGAGCGCGGGGACAAGGTGGAGGTGGTACCGGGGAAGGCCATACATGCCGTGAAGGCCCCTGATGGACGCCGGAAGTGTCGCTTGGTGGTGTGCGGAAACTACCTGAAGGGAGCTGGAAGAGGTCCTAGAGACCGTTCGGAGGCGGCTCAACTATATGCAGGTGGGGCGGACACTACATGCTTGAGGACCTCCTTGGCACTGGCTGCAACGCGCGGCTGGCAAGCGGCTAGCCTGGACATCAAGACTGCCTTCTTGAACGCTCCTCTACGAACCCTTCAGGAGAGCAGCCGGAAGAAAGCACTCGCCTTGGAAGACGCTCATGGTCGACCTCATGAAGATGAAGTGGGAGATGGAGGAGGTCACGATAACCAAGAAGAGGTGATCCCGGAGGAGCAGCAGGAGGAGGACCTGACGAAAAGAAAACGCCTGGTGCTCATGCTCCCTCCAAAGATCCTCATCCGACTGGGATTGGTCAAGGAAGGGGAAATGTGGTTGGTGGAGAAAGCTCTCTATGGCCTACGTGAGTCTCCAAAGCTTTGGGGGGACTACAGGGACATCGAGATCAGCCAGATGTCTTTCTAGGCGAACTACATCACCTACGAGTACCAACAGAGCTTCGCGGAGGAGAACTTGTGGCTGGTGCGCAGGAAAGATGCTGGAGATGATGATCGGGTCGAGGGACTCGCCTTGGTGTACGTGGATGATGTACATAATGCTCTTCGGCACCAGGGAGATCGTGGAAGGAGGACTACAGAGTTTTAGAAAGACCTGGGAAACATCAGAACCTACGTGGGTAGGAGATCGTGAACCAGTTCGATATTGTGGAATGGAGTTGAGCCGAACTGAACAGGGAGACTTCTTTGCCAATCAATGTTCCTACTTGAGGGAAGTGGTTCGGAGACATGGCGTGGAGGATCTCTGCAGTGCTCAAATGATGAAGGAATCCCAAGAGCCCGAAGATGAGCTGAATCGCACGCCCCTACAAGTTCGTGAAGCGCAACAACTTGGAGGTGAGCTTCTATGGCTGGCGACGAAGACAAGGCCGGACATTGCCTACACCGTCAGCAGGATCTGCTCAGCGACGAGCCGCGCGCCGAAATGGGCGGTCCAGACGGCCTACCAGCTCGTCAGGCACTTGAACGCCACTCAGGGCTTGGGCTTATGGTACCGCAGAGGTGACGCATCGTTCGCCCTGGGAGGAGCCCACAGCCACGGTTGCGTGATCAGCTGGTGCACCGGTGGCGTGGAAGAGCTGCAACCAGCCGTTCCCGGCACTGTCGACAGCAGAAGCCGAACTCATCGAAGTCATTGAGGCCGTTGTCGTGGGTGATAGCATTGCATGTCTGGTCGATGAGATGGTGAGAGATGTTCCAAAGTTCCTCAAGTGCGACAACACTGCTGCAGTTTCAATAGCAAGTTGCGCAACTGGAGCGTGGCGTACAAGACACTTGAAGGTCCGGGCCGCTCACCTCAAATGGAGGATTCAGTCTGGTCAATGGGAGCTGAAATACCAGCCTGGAAGAGAGCTCATTGCGGACATCGGCACCAAGGCTTTGCCCGTGGCTAGAGTCAATGAGCTAAGACAGCGGATGGGGATGTCATGGCAGCCCGACTCAGTTGATGAAGTGCATGAGGAGGACAAGGGCATTGTTGCACCTCGTGCCATGAAGTTGGTCGCGAAGTACCACCTGGGAAAGGCCATGAGGCTTGTTGTGGTGCTGTTGGCATTGAAAGAAGTGCATGGAGCTATGGCTGAGAACGTCACCAAGAGTGTCGATGAGAACACGGGGGCGACCACATTCTGTACCTCCTCAGCGTCATGATGATGTTGCTGGGAATGGTGCTCATGAAAATCCTTCAACGATGCCGCTTGCATTGGGGCCAAGTCGAGGAGGAGCCAGTGGCGCGTAGAGTGAGGGTCTCTCGCTTGACTGGACAGGCCTCCTCAGGGACAAGGTCTTCTACAAGGCTTCAAGCGGAGAGGGGTCAAGGAACACACCAAAGAGGAGAAACCAACAGCGAACGAGCGATGGGGAGCACAGTACTTCATCGTTGCCGCCGACGGGTACCAGTTCTGATGAGGGAAGGGGAACTGGAGGTCCGGAGAGAGATTATCCTGTACAAGCTGAGCCGCAAGAAGAACCTCCCAACCAAGCTGACCTACCAGGGGACCGACTACAGATCACCCTGACCGGAAGAAGGAGGCGGTTTGCAGCTGAGCCGACATGGCAGATCTGGTTTGCGGAGTCCAGCCAATGCTTCCATCGACGACAGGATTGCAGGGGGCTGAGAAACGCAAATCGAGTTCGAGGGCGTCCGGTGTGTGGGGCCTGCCAGAGGGCAGCTCAAGGCCAGAGGAGCCTGATGGAAGCAAGCTTCGTGTATGAGGACCAGCTGGGCAACCACCACACAGATGCTCGTTGCCCGCGCAGTGACAGGGCCGATGTTAGAGATCCGCCAATGTAAAGTGTGTGGCGGCTGAAGCGGTTTGAGCCTACGGCTCGATTTTCGAATGCTGGTCAGATGCTAAACGCACGACCAGGGAGGAGTGCTGGTCCGCGAAGGATGACACGCACAAAACGAAAGGTGTACCAAAACGGACACTTGAAACGAACCCAACTGAGACGGTTGGAAGCCGCTTTTGCACAAGCCTGAAAAAGGTCTTCAGGCTGAAACCTTCAGTTTCAATGGCGCTTCCCATTGAAAGAATCAGCCCACTGCTTTTCTGTTTGTTTTCAAGGCGTCCTTTTGCAAGGAGATTTGTTGAGACAAAACTTGAAGCAACCTGCGTATTGAAATTAATTATTGCACGAAACGACCCTTATATATCCGAGAAAACTAATTTACTGCTGTTGTTCAACGCCAGTTTGCTGCATTTGGGTGGCCTTCAAACAATTTCTGAGCTGGAGACCTCAGGTAAACGTGTCTATTCAGAGCTGCGAATCTTCACAGCAGCCAGGAACATAGCGTGGTTTGGGTCAAACATTGACACCTATCCATTTGGTTTGCTTAAGGTTCGATCAACTTTGCACAGGTTGGCTTTAGAGCAGGCTCTTTGTACCTCTGGCTGCCAGTATTCTCTAAACTCTGATCATGTTGAACTACTTGTTGAACAACTTCAGCAGTAGCACATTCTCAAATTTTGTCTAGTGGATTTCAAGCCTGGTTTGCTTTATTTTGTTTCTTCTCCGCAGGCTGCCCAAAGAATTGCTGAAGAGGCCGCGCGAAAGGTGGCTGAACGACGCGCCGCCAAGGCCATCGTTGCTTTATGTTGCTTTGAAAGTTCTTTGACAGCTTGTGCAAACCGGGTGTGGTACGGACTGCCTGCTTCCTTCCCAAACCTGATTCCGAGCGTTCCCATCGCCATTGGGTTCATCATACAGTGCAAAGCCCAAAGCTAGCATGAATCCGAGACTTGCTTTGAGGAAGCTGCCAGGGAAGCCCGAAGACAAGCAGCCTTGGAGAAAGGGGAGGAGTGACTGCTCAATTCTGCTATGAGGAATCATCTCATTTTCCTACAGCCTGCATAGGCTTTAGTGAACAGCCAGGACTTCGAAGAGTCTGATGATGAGTCGGATGATGGGCAAAGCAAATTCTACACAGAGGAGGCGTGACTAAGGTGGAATAGCGTTGCCAGGATTCTTTTGCCTTGTACCTAGGATGAGATAGAGGAAGAGGAGGAAGATCCAAAAGATGTGGAGGATGGTTCCGTTCGTTGCCAAGATGTTGTAGTATTTTGATTGAATGAGAGCCATGCCTGCTACCTGGATTTGAGGCAGATACGCTTGGTGTAGCTTTGATGCGGGCAAGAGAAATTAGAGCCTTGGCCAAGATTGCACCACACTGTTCTTTTGACCACTTTGGGCCGGGATCATATGCTTCAGGTGGGCGGCATGAGATTCGTGACTTCGGGAAGGCAGGGTTGAGATTGAACGAACACTGGCAAGAATGGAGGTTTTGACAAGACTAAGCTTGGACATTTCTGTACTAACGAGAGTAGAGGTCACAGTACACCCTACAAGAATGCATATATACGCTGGGACTGGGCCAATCAAGACATTCTTTTCGTCAAGGCCTTTATGAAGGAGTTGCATGAGGAGGCTGCTTGTAGAGCTTTCATCTTGTAGAGGTGCGCCTTTAAACATTACCTTCCTTGTGAGGCCTACCGCCAACTCCTAATGCGAGAGTTGATTTTCTCAACTGCACAGAGATCGGCTGCAGAATTGCAACACATTCTGCAGCAAGTTGTCGGTAGCTGAGATGCAACAGCTTCAGGATTCAGAACTCTGTTCCAAATTAAGACTAGCGTGAAAGGTTCCCGTTCAAATTGAGGTCCAAGAAGGTATTGGCTCCGCGAAAGTTGGTGATTTACTTAGACCACAATGCAGAGGTTCGATTCGCAAGGTGTAGCAGAGCAACGTCACTGTGTGTGTGTACCCCATGGAGTCACTAGGAGCCGCTTGGCATGTTTTTGTCAAAAGCTCGAACATTGATTACAGCAGGGGGATGGAGAGGACAGGCTCCATCCAACGAAGCTCCTCATATGCTCTTAGGATATCCACAGGAACGCCTGATGACGTACCTGCTCAGATGTTACCATTCATTTTGTTCTGGCCGCTGCTTTCTAACAAGAACAGGTCTTGGGCCTTTGCAGGGGTTTTAAAGGTTGCAATCGACAGTCACGCATCTTAGATACTTGAGCCTTTGGGTACTTGCATCTTTGTGAGACAGGACCTTTGAACTGTGACTAGAAATATTTACTGTATATTTTTATAAGCCACTTAGGCCGGCTTACATACTAATTGGTAGACTACGTCCTCCGTGCTTTGTCCTCTATAAGTCTACAAGGTGATGGTCACTTGGCACTATAAAGTGTGTTTAGAGAGTGACCCGTTTTGCAGTTTTTCAGGATCCTTTGACAGCATTTTATACAGAGGAAGGATGTTTGTTTTAGTTGTGTTTCTTTGCATGTCTTGTGAACCCTTGCCGGGCACTTTATAGAGAATTGAGGGGTTGACCTATTTAACAGCGTTCGCACGTGGGAAATTTGCGCAACTTTTCCATGCTATAAAGTCCCTAATTTTCAGAAATGTTCCCAAAAATTCACTAAGCTACTGTAAGAAAAGAGAGGACATGAATGAATTTGACTGCAAACTATACACAGAATTAAACAATAGATAGCGACCTATGATAGGTGTGTTTTTTCTACACTTCTTGGGCATATGCCCTGTGTCTCTGTATCTATTCATCTCGGTTTCCTTGAAGAACACGTTTCGGCCTCTCTGGGCACGGCCCTCCAAGGCGCCCCCGTTAACGAAGTAGACCACAAAGGCAGAACAAACATTGCCTTTTTGTGTCCTTTTTATATCACACTGTTTTCAATGTTTTTTGTTTCTGTCAGTGGAAGTGCAACCACAGGCACATAGCATGTATAGTTTGTGCATCATGCGTGTGACCACTAACCGCCTTTTGGCTCAAGTGCGCCCATCAGAGAAAAAGTCCGCGAGTGCTTTCGCTTTGCATGGAACGCAGGATAGCTTTGACAACTGTCGGGTTACAAGGTTAATATCCACACGCAGGTTATCAGCCGTAGCCGCTCTGAGGTTACGAGCTTGAAGAGACCGAAAGAGAAGATTGTCGACAACTGACCTGCAATGTCTAGTTCCGGAGACAAGAACAGCGAACAGTTTCCTTCGCTGCACCTGGAGGACCTATGTCGCAATCATCGCCAGGGTCATTGACCGGAGCGAGTTCAGCAGGTGCTACTGTAATGACTATGCCAACAGGATCACAAATTTCAGGTGAAGGTAGCGTCGCTCCACCGGAGTCGATCGCTACCGGATCCGATGCAAGATTAGGCAGCGCAAAGAGAACGTTGAAGAGATTTACAATATCAACGTCACCAAGAATGAGAACGTTGAGATCGAGGATGCAAAAGGGTTAGGAGAAAGAGAGATTCAACTCATTCAAAAATTTACGATCAGCCAGGGTTTCGTACCAGTACTTGCACGATGAGTACAGTTATTTACATGCTGGATACACGAGTCTCTATTCGAGATCGCAGGAGGAATTCTCGCAGATGACCATGTGCAATAAATCCATGCGCAATCACCTACAGGAAATGATGCAAGAAGATGAAGGAGCAACCATTAGACTTGAAGAGCTTGAACGAATGCTTCGGCAGATCACTATTATTCAAAGTATGAAGAGCTTGCTCAGGAAAGCCATGAAGAACATTCGCAGCTCGATGGAGTAAGATCCAAGATGAGGGACATGACCAGCGAGATGCAGAGTGCTTTTCATTATATCCAGGAGCAGAATCAGAACACTGATGTTTCCAACACGCAGACGAGCTCAAAGCTTGAGAGAAGAGGATGAGGCAGTCATCAATGTTGCAAACCAATTCCAATTGCGGACGTTAGAACTACAAGATGAGAACAGCAACATGTTGGAAGTAGCTCAGAGAGAAAGAGAAAGGCAATGGGATAGTGAAATGCATCAAAGGCATGTTGGTCAATGAGATAACTGAGACCACCGGTCACCAGTATCAGGAACGAAGGATGGTAGAACATCTCCGCGGACAGCTGGCACTGATTAAAGGATCGGAGCTTAGCGCTGCTGCAGAGATGAACACACGTGGCTTCGACCAGAAGACCGAGATTCACGGATACAAGTTGGAGATTACCGAGAAGGAGATGAGAGCAAAACAAATTCATTATGAGGTGAGAGTAATGGCTGAAGCCTTGAGCGCGCTCGAAGAAGCGACAAATGGCGCCCAACGACAAGCTAAAGAGGAACAACAGTTACTACAATTACTACAACAACAATTGAAAGATGCGAATCTTGCCCTTACTGGGATCCTTTGGGAACAGAGCCCTGACTGGAACAGAATCCTTCCTGCAGATGATCGGAGAAAGTTCATGATTGAAGGAGCACTCCTGTTAGCAAAGGTCCAAGGCGTTCCTCAAGAATACATCACATCATGGAGGCATCAGAGCGCCAGTGGAGATTGTGAACGCCTACTGCAAAGAAGAAGAACGCGGAGGACTACTCATTGTTCACCGAGATTATGACCAAAAGCCTGTATGGATTTAGAGCCTTCATGGACTATTAACGTGGCATACCGCGACCACGTGCAATATCTTCTGGCAACAGAGTAATACCAGGCCATCTTCATGCCCGACAACAAAGACAAAGTGACGAACTCTGAACTTGCTGGAGATATCGTTGAATGTTGGCTAGGTACATTCGAACTCGCAAGCGTCTTCCAACATGATCTCTTCAAGGAGTGGAAATATATTGATGAATGGAGGCAAGGAATCGAACTATCAGTTCTTTCATTTTATGCAGCTAAAGTCGGAGTTACATGAACGACAACACCAAGAGGAACAAGTCTCCATGCAGCTATCCGACAACTGAAGAGCAGAACGAAATGATCGAGATGATGAAGAGGTACCAGAAGCCGACGATCTTCAGTAGGATGAAACCTTTAGAGGCACTGCCTTTCGCAGCCATCAAGCGCAGCACCCAAACCATCCACTGCAACACCTATGACTCCTGAGGTAGATCCTATGAACTACAGAACAAATGATGGAAGATCTCACCAACAGCGACATGGAGGAGTCCTCCACACTCAGGACCCGATTCGACCAAAGGAAACGAGCCAGGATCTTCATCATGGAAGGAGACACACGACAACCTGATGAAGAAGAGAGCTCAAGAAAAGCCAATTTGCCTATGTTGTGCGTCAGATGAACGCTCGATGGAGAACTGCGACAATGAGAAATTTGCTGAACAGAAGCAGACCTTAGTCGCCGCCTTCGATCACATGGAGGGCATTCTTCAGAGCAGTTTCACTGATAGCAACGCGTACCAACCGATCAGGCCAGAATGTGACAGAGGCAGTATATTGAAGTCATCCCGCAAACAGGCACCATCTTCTGTGCGGAAAGGTGGAACGGAGAGAAAGGGGCGACCAGATCAGGATATCTGAAACCACCTGTCTTTGATCCCGACTCAGTTGACTCTTCACGGCTGACGCAATCAGCAGAAAACTCAATAAGGTTCTACGGCATCAAACCGGGAAAGCAAGAGTGATCGGAGCTTCCGGACGAGAACGTGAAGTCCTTCTATGCAATGAGGGAGGATGGGTGAACATTCAAGACGTGCTTTTGTATGGCCATATCTTCAATGACAATGGCAATCGCCAGATACGAGATGCAAGGAGGGGAGGATATCTGACAGACATGTTGATGGCTCGGTACTACCGTTACTGTCAGGCCATGTGGTATTCGAGCAAGCTCCAGAATCGCGTCAGATTCCAAATCGCTGCCGTCCGCATTTCTCCTGGCGATGTTATGAAAGAAGAGCAAAGAGATTACTGGGAGAGAATCTTCAGTGTCAGTGTCACGAACAACGTGGACTACCATAGAGATCGCGACAGATGGTTGTTTCCAGGGCAGTGTCTTCTCACAACCTTTCGTCTCGCCATACCGAAACAAGCGAAAGTGATGTCACTCTATACCCACATCTCACGTCGCGCGACATCACGGACCCTATCACAATCAGCCTAGGAGGAAGCTTTCGAGTGACATCCGTCGGCGGAATTTCATCGATCATGAAGCTCGGTATTCTCCGTGGGGGAACAGAGGGGGTCAGAGGAAGATCTTTCTTCAATCGCTATGCGCCATGGGGCGATCGATCGAAAGAGATCTTGAGATCAAGAATTCCCACCAATGATATCCCAGTCTGGTACCTTTTGCTGTTCTGAAGAGCCTCGGCGCACGACTCGCTGAGAGCTCCTACGTCATCATGTTCAAAGAGGTCGCGTGGGATCATGTCAGAGGAGCGTGGTATCAAGATTCACTGGACAACACGTGGAAGAGGACGATGGCAAAAGTCGTTACCCACCACCTTATCACTGCTGCAGTTCATCTAGACAAAACCATTGAGAAAGCAAAGGAAGTAGTTGCAGGGAGCGCGAGGAAGGACGACAACATTCGGAAGCTAGATGACTTTTCATCAATTCCAAGGAGCCCCGACCAGCCTTTGCACTCGAAACGTCTTTCGCCACCTACGACGCCAAAACGGCAGGCGCGACTGTATAAACAAAAAAGGGTGTCCCACAAAAGCTGCTTTCCTGCTCAGAATTTTGCGCCCCTGGCACAGAGCAAGTGTCGCGCAAGAGTGTCAGCACCCCCGCAGATCAACGGCCACACGACATTGCCCAACACGACGCCGCGTACCACAGGCAAAGGGCGGGGAAAGGCACCAGGCGCGCCAGGGATAGGCAAGAAACATAAAGAGCAAAGAAAGGGGAGAAATTAAACAAAGCGCCAGAAAGAAATCATACAGCGCAGGAAG